ACGGAAATCCTATTTTCTCCTTTACTTGTCTCTTTAATTACAATAAAACTTGGGTGATATCCATCCATTCCACCTAAACCCTATAACCCGACCCAACTGATATTTATCCCATAATAATTATATCTTAAATTAATTAAAAAATATATTATTTATGAGGATTTTTCCTTCATCGCTCCATCTTCTTCCTCTTCTTCGATCTTCATGTTCTCCACCACTTCGATCATCTTTTTTTCTGCTCACTTTCCTCGTCTTCTTGCCGTTTACTCACTCTTTATCTTCCGTTTCCGTCTCTCTCTGTCTCTTTTCTCTCACCGTTTTTTCTCTCATCTTTCTCTGGTTTTTAACTCTTTACTCTCAATCAGACTTCCAAGTGATTTTATTTCTCATAGAGATAAATCACTTCAATTTTGGCTCAATGGATCTCCAAATTGTTAGAACTTTTTTTAAAACACAGATTAGAAGAGTATTGAGAATGGGTTCAGGGAGAATGGTCTTTATTCCAGAGAAATATGGTGAGAGGAATGAAAGGCGAGGTTTAGGTACGTGGATTTCAATTCCAATATGCAATTTTGATAACAAACAAAAGAAAGATAATTGAAAGCATTTTGATTGGGTTATAGTGTGTAACTAGCTTGAATTTTGAGTCATTTACTTATGATTTCGACGGGTAAATGTTCTTGGGTCGTATTATGATGCATTTAAAAGTCTACATCAGCAAATTAATCTCTTTCACATTCTGTTTGTCAGGAAAAAGCTGCAGATTCTTCAGCCAAGTCTTCATCTCATTTGAATGTGCATCCGAATGGTCCTTCATATGCTTCTCCTATGATGCCTATAGATACTGATGATGGCATTTCATATAAAGGTTTGTCCAAGAATCTAGTTTTTTTTTTCTTTTCTTTTGAATCAAAATCTTCCAGATTGGACTAAAAGAGGCATATGTATCTTTGCTTCTTTGCAGCTATTGGTGGTGTGAGGTTTCATCAAATTTCTCAGCTTTCGAGGTGAATGCAACTTCTATCTTTCAGCTTGTAGACTTTTGTATACTTCCTTGGGACTGGATTTGTTTCTTTACCTTGTATTATTGGCTTTTGAGTAATCCTATGATGGATATATTTATTTGAACTTTATCAGCTTAAGAGATTCTATCTTCTCGTTGCAGATACATGAGAACGTCAGTATCTTGTGCAAAGCTTGGGAAAATATCCTCGCAATCTTGAACGAGTAATACTTTTTGCCCATATATCTATAGATCATATCTCTGTCATTAGCTTTTTTTGGGATATGTCCCTCTCTTCCAACAAATATGTTGTTTTAAATTTTTGGTGTTATTAACTCAAATATCTGCTTGCTATGTTGATTGAACAATTGTGTGTTGTAGCTTGAATGATATGCCAGAGTTTATGAAGCAGATGCCACCTCTTCTGGTGATGGTGAACGAAGAGCTGGCAAATTCGATCCTCCCTCGCCCTCCCCATCAAATGAAGTCGTGATGGATGGATCTTATAGAGTTGATCGATTGTTAGTTCTGACCAAAAAACTCTCTCTAATCCGGGATCAATGAAGAAAGTAATAAATCGCTGGATGTAGAGAGTTCCACTTGTGAAATTGATGATAGAATGCGGGTTTTCTCCTGACTCATAGAGTTTACTATACTCTTTATGCAGTTTTAGTCGCCTTTAAAGGTTTTAGCAAATGGTTATCTATTATGAGTTGTTGGATGTTTTGTTTGATCTATTATGCGTTCTTCACAAAACAAGAAGAAATAAAAGAAATCAACCATCTTTTTTTCATTTTTTGTTACATTCTATTTTATTCACTTTTTTATCAAATACAAAAATGGACAACTAAGTACAATTATGGACAACTAAGTATTATTATGGTACAATTAAATACAATTATGGACAACTAAATACAACTATGCACAACTAATACTAAGTACAATTTGGTACAAGTGGTATAACTATATAATTTAAAATTATAATAAAATTTAATTAAAAATTAGTTAGAAAAAACATGTGTGCCAACAAAAAAAAACATGTGCGCAACTAGGTAGAACTACGTTATGAATTTCTTCAGGGCAACTAGGTGCAATTAGGTACAATTATGTTATGAATTTTTACAGGACAACTATGTGCAACTAGGTACAATTACGTTATGAATTTCTCCAGGACAACTAGGTGCAACTCGGGACAACTATATTTTAATTGTAATGTTAAAAACAAATTCTTAAAATTCTTACTTAAAAACCAATATAATTCATACTCTAAAAATTGTATCTTTTCACGTCTATACTAGAAAGAATAAAATAAAACTTTGTTTTGTTCAAAGAACCAAATTTTTTTGGTTTCATTTGAAATAGCCCTTATATTATAAGGAAGTCTTTGACAATGTTATCCATCTTATGCAAGCGTCTATGCAAAAATATAAAAATAGAAAAATAGTAACGTAAAACCCTTGGGGCTGTTATATAATGTTCGAAATTCTTGTGGACAACTAGAATATAATAATTTCTGTCGAAGGACAACTGAAAAAACTACAAAATCGATGAAAGGACAACTATTACAAATTTTGGACAACTGGACAACTAGGTACAACTATGTTGTCTGTTGTAGACGCACATGTGAAATACAACTGGTACAACTGGTACAACTGATATAATTATGTAATTTAAAATTATAATTAAAATCTATTAAAAATTAATAAAAATACACATGTGCGTCAACAAAAAAGAACATGTGCGCAGTCAAAGTACCACGTGTGCCGTCAATTTTGTACATAGTTGGACCTAGTTGTCCAGTTGTCCAAAATTCTTCATAGTTGTCCTTTGGCGATTTTAGCATTTTTTTCACTTGTCCCTTGATATAAATTATTATTTTGTAGTTGTCCACATAATCTTCGATTATTGTAGTCCATTTATAACATTTTCATACTACAATTTATGCAAAATCATAATTTTGGCTTTTTTCCATCATAAGATTGTTAACATTATCAAAGTCTTCTTTGTATCAGAAGGGATGTTTGATGTGAAACCAATAATATATATTAGAAAAATGATAATTTTATGTTATCCATCTTTTTAATTTTATTCCTTATACTTTACGACTTTTCTACATTTTTTTTAAGTGGATGTTTGCTTTTTATATTTATAGTTTTATATGTAGTCCATTTATTATTTTCTAATGAAAGAATTACATATAGTTGTATATATGTGTCCTGTTATACCTTGTTTATTTCCATCCGGAAAGCATTTTCGGCCAAAAATGAAATCCTCTAGACTAGATTAACTTTCCTAAGTGTCTAGTTATCCGTCAAGGTAACATGTGCACCTATGTGCATTGTCAATTTTTGTACATAGTTGTACATAATTGTACATAATTGTACTAGTTGTCCTTCTCTGCAGATTTGCTGATGAACTCAGATATAATTATAATTTACCTAAGAACCACTATGATTCAACAACTATATTAAAAAAATTATCCATGCTAATCGTCAGATAAAACGGAGTTACCAACCCGATTCGCAATTATAATAAAAGAATTTTCAATCAACAATTATTTAAGTTGTTTTAGTTATACCTATTGTACCAGTTGTCCTCTATCTCATAGTTGTACCAGTTGTACTAATTGTCCTCTTATCTCTTAGTTGTACCATTTGTACCAGTTGTCCTTTTTCTGCAGATTTGGTGATGAACTCGGGTTCTAATTCTAATCTACCTAAGAATCACCATGATTTAACAACTGAATTCGAAAAATTATCTATACAAAGACCTAATCGTCACATACCAACCCGATTTGCATCTAGAACAAACAATTTTGGCAAATCAAATCCCTAAATTTTAAAATCCCCAAATCTGTAAATAAAAACCTAACTGGATTTTAAAACTTCAACAATGGTAGTGGAGAAAGGAGATAAAATAAGAAACTGATTGCAGAAGATGAAGAAGAAAAGGAAGAGGCGAAGATTCAACGGCGAAAATAAGATTTGCTTGTTTTCAGAATCCACCGACGAAGAAGAAGAGCATGAAAAAAATTATTTTTTTTATTAATTTTCGTTTTAAATTATTAATTTTAATAAAATCAATTATTTTTTCACCAAATTCAAAAATGCCACAAAAACTTTCATTAAGGATAAATTGAAAATTCTATATATATTATGGCATGTAGATTTGTTTATGGCACAGCAGATTTTTTTTTTTTCAATTTGTGGCATTACAGCCATTAAATCCAACAACTTACGATTATCACAATTATCACATCTTAAAGGATCCTTCGAAAGTTAGTTCAAGTCGTTTTCGTACCCATTGTTAACCAAGATAAATTTCCATACTAACAAATATTTATTTTAGAACGTTAATAATTTGATTATGGACCAGCTACTACTCGGTAGGGCCTGCTAATGAAAGGATTTTGCACTTATTGAAAAAGATTCAGCCACTGTATAGTTCCACAAAAGTGGAATCATAAACTATTATTGAAACCCTTACAGATAATAAGCCAATAATATCTGCCTGCAAATTCGGAAAATATTATTGCACTTGATAATTATAGAGATCCCAATAATATACTTGTTTGTTTTCATAGTTCCAAAAATAGGATGGTGATAATCCTTAACGCTGACAATGATAACATAACATGACCACAAAGACTTTCATTTCATGTAGCATTACCATAAAAAAGTCACTACAACCATGATAAGATCAAAGCTCATGAGGAAGATGACTAAGTCACGACCATAATACCATTTGCTGAGTTTTTCAAGAATCAATTGTTTTCATTTGATAAGCCAAGAATTGGACATAAAGCGAATGTTCAATATCATCTTCGAAAATCCAACTCCAAAATTCAATATACGTAATCACCGAACACAACCCAAAGCAAATGTATGAAAACAGTTTTACAACCATGAAGTCAGAATCTTGTGGTCTTTAAGACACAAGCACAATCATATGATATGTAGCGATTCACGCATAATGAAGCTCCCAATTTTCATTGGCCATAAGACAAGTAGGCACAGAGCGGATATGCTAAATACTTTGATTGTTCTACCATCTTCGAACTAAACGAATGCCCTACAAAATTCAATCTTCTGATATTATCGAATAAAATCTCAAGCAAATTGCAGCAAAACAGATCCCTAAAGTCAGAATCTTTGATCTTTAACACATAAACACAATCATGTGATACACATAGCAAATTAACGCATTAGCTATGAATCTCATTAACGGGCAAGTAGCAAACAACGGTAACTATGATGCAAATAAGGACCAGTCTACAAGAAATAAAGCAAAACAGTTGCAGATCCCTAAAGTCAGAATCTTTGATCTTTAACACATAAACACAATCATGTGATACACATAGCAAATTGACGCATTAGCTATGACTCTCATTAACGGGCAAGTAGCAAACAACAGTAACTATGATGCAAATAAGGAACAGTCTACAAGAAAAAAGGCATAAGATGAGTACACAGTACCCACACAAGCAGCAGCAGGAAGCAATGCCAATCAGTCATCAGCTCCATCAGTCTTTCCAGCACCAAAAGGGTCGTGATTAGGCCCTAACTCTTCTCCCATATGGCGCTGCACAAGCCGCGAGAGATCAGACATAACCTTAGCCTCGCGCTTCGCCTTCTCCTCATAGTTAAACATAGCCAAGGCCCGTTTGTCTTCAGCACTGTAAACCTGGTTTTCCTTTCTGATACGAATAGCATTCATCCTTTGATGCCTACTTCCACTCATCACATAACCAAGATCCTCAAACTTCTGAATCTCTTCAGCGTTAAGACCCACTTCTCCTCTACGTGGGATACGTTTACCTTGCTGCACATACTGTGCTATGGCGTCTCCTTCACCAGGTCTTAAAGCACCACCATAACTGATGTGTCCTTCAGCTTTAGGCAATGGCATTGGACCAACATCAGCTTCTTCTTCATCATCGGGGGCTGAAGCTTTCTTCTTTGATTCAATCATCTCTTTGAACTTCTTCAACTCCTCCTCATCAAGCTCAGGATCCTTCACCGTTTCTTCTAACTGCGCCTTGGAATCAGTGTCAGAACCATCGCTTTCGGTTTCTGACTTCGTTTTCTTTCCCTTGCTTCGTTTGGAACTAGAAACCGAAGATTTCTTACGCTTCCTGCTCTTTGACTTGCTAAGTTCATCCCCAGACGACGAAGCACTAATCTCAGATTCCTCCATTTTGCTATCTCCATCGCTGCTCTCGTCAGAGTCACTGTATCTCCTCTTTCTCCTATGTCCTCGCCTTTTCCTACTACTGCGGCGGCTTTTGCTTTTGCTCTTCTTCTTCCTTCTTCGTCTCCTATCTTCCTCTTCCGACTCACTCTCACTCTCTTCAGACTCACTATCGCTATCATACGATCTCCTACGCCTACGCTTTCTCTTAGAGCTCTTACTCTTTCTCTTCCTAGATCTCAAGTCGTCAGATTCAGATTCCGACTCTGACTTGCCTGAATCAGACTCACCTTTCCTGTCTTTACCTTTCGGGTTATCATCCCTTTCCAGAATCTCGTCGGAGATCTCATCGGAATCCTCGTTCTGATCTCTAGGCGGGCTCGGCGTGTTCTCCCAGAAGCAGAACCTCCCCGATTTCCGCATCTTAAGCCGTTTATTCCTCCTGTATTCCTCGTGACTCAATCCCTTCAACTCTTCATCGGATTCGGAATCAGATCTCCTCCCTTTACGATAATCTCGATCCAGATATCCTTGATTCCTCCCAAACCTCCTTGGAAGCGAGTTCATCGTCATTCTGGATCTCCCCCAAAATTCACTTCGATGACGACGACGGAAAAACAAAAATCTTATCAGACGATTCTGAAAATATTAGGGCTTTGAGACAAATCTACGTGCTCTTTTCTTATTGGGGCCCATACAAAGCCCAATAAAAAGTATCGAACATTCTTTCCATATTTATTTATTCAGCAGCGTAAATTATTTTATTATATACAAAGCACCTCAAATTTTAATTAGAAACAATTGAGTCCTCTATCTTCATCATCGTCGTTGTCAGTGACAAAGTTTCTCTGTGATTTGGATTTTGTCGAAAGACTCAAATATTATCAATCTCCTTTTTTAAATATAAAATAAAAATGTTGTTGAGGAGGATAAACATTTATCAATTCAGGAAAAGTATAAAGAGTCGTTTTTTGCAGTCATTGTCAAATCTTATTTAGTATCCAATATTTTTCCTTAAGTTTGAAAAAAATGAAAATGTGGTCTCAAGAGACTGTGATGTCCAAAAAGCAGAGTGAAGGATGTGCTGGATCAATACATGAAAACAACTGATGTTAAGCATCTACATATTTTTATTATCATTGCAGCAAAAAATGTACAAAAGCGTAGAAGCATTGCGAAAACGATATGACATACAAAAAAGAAAAAGAAAAAGAAAACAGAGACATAATCACAAAACACACAAACAAACTCTTACACGCACACACACAAAAGAAAACCTCTTTAATTTGGCCTACAAAAAAAAAAAAAAAAGAACACGAATTTCTGCAACGACCACTTGAGTGACAAAACGACAGCGTCTCAGGGTACGTACTCTGCTTCTTCTGCTTTCTCTTTTGGGACAACATTGTTGGGTTAGAGATCACACGCCGTAAGTAGGAGGAGAGCTCCTTGGTCCACTCTCTGATCCTGCTGCCTTATCGAACGCATCCGACGTCGACCTTCTCCTAAACCGAAAGGGTTCCTTTCCTCCTGCGTTTGCTCCGTTTACATTCCCAAAGGGTCCCTTTTCGTTAGTACATTCACACTTCAACCAATAATATATGACTCCTTTTAACAACATTTATATCTTTCAATCACAAGATGACTTTGAAGGAGGAGGAAATTAACGACCACACAAAAAATAATCTGTGAGGTTAGGTATGTATGACAACATTTGACAAGACGGCTCACCAAATTCAACCAATATATTAACCAAGCAACTATAATCAATAATGTCAGTTAAGCCAATTTGGAGTAACAAATTATAATAGACAAAAAAGATCTAAGTGCACTATGCACACAAAGTCTAATTTAATAATTACTAGGGAACACAATTGCCAAATTGGAGTAACAAATTATAATAGACAAAAAAAGATCTAAAGTGCACTATGCACACATAGACTAATTAATAAATACTACACAATTACACAGCTCAGGTTATTAAAGTACATCCCCATAGACATAGTCAGCTAGAGAGTGTAAAATGTCAAAAATAGTAACCTTAAATAACATCCAATCAGAGTTATTTCCTTAACGAATAGACGGATCTACCCTTAAACGAATATAGTGAGTGTACTCCTGTATCACCTACCAACTAATTACAGTGGTAATTAAATACTCACCAGAGAAAGGAGACACTGGCGGGGTTGAACCGGCCGGCGAAACCGGAGCTGAACCGCCTTGGTACCCTGGTGGTTTTACTATCATGATGCTGCGTGTTACTTTCACGGCTTCTTCCGGCGAATCCTCACCGTACGATCTCACGCTTCCACCGTCCGATTGATCTAAAATCACGGTCAATTATTCCAGACCAGAAAAAAAAAAACATCAGATCGATCGACGATTAAGCCATGAAATACTCTTATCCGTTGATGCTAAATTTTTTTTTTTTCATTTTAGTTATTTTAATAATCGGATTGATAATCTGTCAATTAAAAAACAATGATCAGTCACCAGCTCAAGATAGCAAAACGCGGCGTACCATTGCCGGAGCTAGGCCGGAAACTGAAGGTATGGTGTTTCCGAAGCTTGCCAAGGCCATTCTCTGGCCGAGGACCAGCGACGGTGTCATCCCACAGATGATCAAGTAAGCCCATGGATCAAAAGTTATCAACCCTAATTTGTTTTTCAAGAATCTAAAACTTTTGGGCGCAAGTTAGGTTTTTCACAGATGTTGTAGAGAGAGATCAAAATGATTGACGAAGGTAGTGATGATTTTAAAGGCGATCGGGGAGATAGTATGACGTGGCGCTTGGATCTTAGCTCACGCAAGGTGGATAAGGACTATTGGAGAGTGGGTCCCGATACGATAAGTTCGAGATATTTAGATCGGAGGGTCACAAATCTATCTCACGTGCCGGCATCTCTCGCTTTCCTTTTATTTACGATAGTACCCTCACCTTTATCTAGATTAAGATCAAATACCCCTCGATGTCAGTTTATTTACACTGGTACCCCGTCCTAGGATCTTAGCCGCCAGCTCCTTGATTCTTGACCAATTGGAAAATTTTGCGCTTTGGGTCAAAATATATGCACCTTTTTTTAAGCAATAAAGCCCATAAATAGGCCCAATAAGTTTTTTAATCGAAAGTTCTTTCTTATACAAAGCACCCCAAATTTTGATTAGAGTCAATTGAGTCCTCTATTCTTATCGTCTTCTTCAGATGGCAAGTCTCTCCATCCCCACCGTCTCTCTGTCGCCGTTTCGGTTTCAAACTCAGACCCGAATTACAATACTTAATACCCGAACGCGAAAGAATCTCAACTCATTGAATCTCAAGCAGACAAAAATCTTCACGCAAATTAGAGGTTTGGGCGGAAATCGGAGAGAAGAGAAGGATTCGAGATTCGTTAATGAAAATGGCGCAATTGATGACATGGAAGGTTACTTAGACCATCTCTCACTCGAATACGACTCCGTCTGGGACACAAAGCCCTCCTGGTAAATCCTCTTAAAGAAGTTCCCAAATTCAAGTTTTTTTTTTTTTTCAGTAATTTTCTTCTTCCTTCTAGGTTTGAATTTTATTGATAGAGTTTGCTGATAAGAGTCAAAACCACTTAAGTTAGAAATCTCTAATTAAAGTTTGAATCTTTGTTTACAAAAGGGTTTCTGCGTTTCACCTCAAAACTACAACTTTAGGCAACCTTTGGATATCTATGACTTGGTTTGTATCTGCAATCAAGAAGTTTTCGATTTCTCATTAGACATTTCGGGCGTACAGTTGTGCGGTTTCTTGAGTCATAAGGTACAACAACAGATAATATATTCCTATGTTTTTCAGGTGTCAGCCATGGACGATAATGTTAACGGGTCTATCAATAGTGGCATGTAGTTGGGCAATATTACATTCGGTTTTAGTTTCATCGCTTGCTGGTGGTTTAATTGGCGCTTGGTGGTACATTTTCCTTTATAGCTACCCAAAGGTATGATTTTTTTATCGATCACAAGCAATGAATCTGATAAAAGTTTGTAGAACTTAACTACTAAGTCCGTGCTATACTAACTACTTGTTCTAACATCTTCGGTCAATGCTGGTTTCTTCGTCACGCAAAAGTCATTGTCTTTGATACAAAATCTTGGTCTTGTTTTTTGTTTGAGATCTGATGGGTTTTGTTGTTCTTTTGGTTGTTGTATTTGGTTTTCAGTCGTATTCAGAAATGATTGCTGAAAGAAGGAAAAGAGTAGCTGATGGTTTTGAAGATACTTACGGCAAAAACAAGAGTTCATAGAAAATCCCCACCTCCTAATGTTTGAAATAACATTCGTTTGTTATATCATTCGTTTGTTTGTAGCATAAATCGTTTTTTTTTTTCTGTTTGTGTCTATAGTAACATCCATGTATTTGTTTATCCCAATTGCATTCCCAGATGTTTGGATACAAATCTCTTGAATTTCAAAGATCTATGTAGTGGGCATTGAAGTGAGTTTTACATAAAGAAAAATCAAACCGTATGAATAATTCTTACTATGAAAACACAGAACTGAATGAACGTTGATTTGAGATCTTGCAGTCAAAACAGATTCATGCGAGAACAAGAGAGGCAGATAATGAACCTCATGTTGAATGTAGATGATGAAACTCATAAAAGAGAGAGCAGATAGTGATGTTAATTGATTACAACATAACTGGGAAATCATAAAGATGAGTAACAATATCCGTTTCTTCTCTAATCAAACCAATAGTGTTTACAGATATATTCCCCGGACGATGTGAACTTTAATAGCGTAAACCAAATCTTGGTTGCGCAAGATTTCACACACGATGCGATCGTTTTTCTTCAGTTTGTTCCTATCGCATATGCGTTTCCATCTTTTGATACACACACGTTGATCCCTCCACCTTGCAGTTTTTGCTTCTAGTTTCCCCTTTGGGTCGATGTAGCTAATGTATTCTTGAAACCTTAAGCAGTAGTCTTTCACCAGTTGTGCATGAACCAACTGTATTAAAAGATACACAAAGAACAAACACAAATCGTTAATCAAACAATTTAAGTCATAAAGCAATATATTAAGAAAATCTTACCAGCTCGTATTTCCTATTCTTCACGCCTGTCTCGAAATGTACATTATTTGGATCATCTAGATATACCTCGGGGTTTTTGATCTTTCTCTTTACTGTAAAAAATCCCATAATTAAAGAGAAAACATATCTCTATATAAGCATCACACAAATTGAAGCCCTAGTTAAAGTGATGAAAAGTAAGCCAATAGTTTCTTTACCTTTCTCCCTCCTTTTGGATGGTTCAACACGATGAGAACTCTCACCAGTAGACACTATGGACTTTCCTGGAAAACCTCAAAAGACGAAACATATTTTACATATATATAAGCATCACACAAATCATCAAAAGTGGTGAAATGCTAATGTCTTTTACCTTTCTTCTTAGGATTTGTCACCTTTGGTTTGACATGAGCGGATGTGTCCTCGCAATCTGGAGAATAAGAACTGTCACTGTTGGAATTTTCTTCAAAATCCAAGCGACTAAAAGCTTCAATATAATCACTATCAGTGTCTTCATCAGAGCTCTCCACAACTTCCACTTTCTTCTTTCCTGGAGAAATCTCACCAAACAAACAAATATCAAAGCTTTGTCTATATTATAAAACAACTCAAGTCATTAAAAGAGCTAACAATGTGTAAAAACCTTTGTTCTTGCTTCTCCGGATTGTATTAACATTCTTGAATTCAGAACCTTCTGTCTCTGTTTCTTCACTGTCTAGAGAAAAATCAATGTCCTCCTCCATAACTTTCTCTTTCGGCTTTCCTGGCCAAGAGACAAAACATCTTGTCTATATAACTCAATCACATAAAAAGAAGGAATGAAAAAAGAGAAGCTAAGAAATGTGTCAAACCTTTGTTCTTCTCTGTTTCTGTCTCTGTGTCTTCACTGTTTAGAGAATGAACACTGTCATCACTGTCGTCAGAATCCTCCTCTTTTCCTGATCAAGAGACAAAACAATAACTTGTTACATAAGGGACTGGAAAAAATAAAGCCAAGAAATGTGTTAAACCTTTGTTCTTGCTTCTCGGAATTGCAGTGGCCATCTCGGATTCAGAACTAGTATTTGTGTCATCGCTGCTTAGAAAACAAGTACTGTCTTCTTTGTCATCCTCCTCCACTTCAGTGACTGCTCTATTCTCTTTACATCCATGGAGGCCATAGATGCTGACCTCGAAAACGCTGTCTCCATTGTACACGAAGGTCAAAAAATCTCCATCGATGAGAGAGTTGTCCTTAACGAACTCGGGCCACCCTTGTTCAAAACACACCTCCTCTTCCTTCAGATTCATCGCTACGTTCCAAGAGCATCCACCAGTGCCTTGGAGAATCGCCGTTTCAGGTAAAAGACGAGGGAGTTCATCGTAGTAGGAAATAGGGATCAGCTGCTCAACAACACCAAAATGTTTAGCACAAACTGATAACTTGAAAGCCTTAATACTCAAAAGAGAAAACGCTAAAGACACAAAGTAGAGACTTTAAAATCCAACTCAGAAAGAAACCACACTCTCTAAACATATAGACATGAAGATTTTGGTATTTCCATAAGAGGATATTCCATCTCTGTCAATGATTAGGAACAGTTAAGAGCTTACAAAAAGGGTGAGCTTTTATCACTTTAGGGACCAATAGAAGTAACAGAAAGCAAAACATCTGTATCTATTTGTGAACATATAGTATAACGACCATGTTCAAACATAACTAGTGCAAAGTTTCGTAAATGAAACCGATTCACATGTTAAAAAAAAAAAACATCTTTACTTTACCAAAGGTAAGAAATTCAACAACTTTACAACTCAAAACAGAGGAAAGAAGCAAAAGGGATGAAACAGAGCAAAAGCCTAAGGAAGACGAACAATAAGAAACCAGGAAAGAGATTTATCCATACAGAAGCTTCAAGACAGATTAAAGCCAAAGAGACAAACGCAAATGACAAGATTTGCAGTTTAAGAAAAATACCAAAAACGATACTAAAGCTAAGGGAGAGAAAATACATTACCATGGAATCAGAGCTAAAATGGGAGATGAAAACTTTAAAGAAACGTGGAGGAGTATCAGTGGCATCCATTGCAAGAGGATGTTCGAACTGTGAGAGAGAGAGAGAGAGAGAGAAGACAGATTCTTCAGGGTAAGGTATGAAATTGGGAACAGAGAGAAGAGAAAATGCGTGAGAGAGAGAGAGAGAGAGAGAGAGAGAGAGAGAGAGAGAGAGAGAGAGAGAGAGAGAGAGAGAGAGAGAGAGAGAGAGAGAAGACCCATAAATTCCGACGAAGTTACTGTCAAAAGACAGTGTACTTGTATCTCGCCTCATCATTGATTCCTTACCGTTATAACCGCAAAGTACTTCCATTTATTTTTTTGCTTAATTACTTCTATCTCTCATAAATTTTTCTTTTCCTCTGCCTTGATGTTTCAAAACAAAAATAAAAAAATTGAGAAAAAAATACTTAACACATATTTAGCCAGTATAGCACGAATGGTCAAGGTCAACAGTACGTATATGTCATGGAATTGCTTCAGTCTTGAGTTTGACTCTTGCCTACACTTAGTCAGAGCATGTACAGCAGGGTATCAGATTGGGTTCGAGGCCCAAAATCATATGCAAAATCTAATAAAAAAAAAAGAAAAATGGGCTATTTTTAATAAGACCGTCTCTTCCGGATGAAGCTGACGATACGGTATCACAGCTATGTGATTGAACACGTGGACGATCGTGATTGGCTAGACATGTTTTCTATTTTTGATGGATATATCCTGCTTTTTTATTTTGTCGACCATTTTCTTTCTCGTTTTTTTCACGATTTTTTTCAGATTTTTTTGTGGAGACCATCATTGGGGCTCGCTCTTACGCAACTCTCTTGCTCTTGCGCACGGCGATGTTCAGATCAGAGACGCCGGAGAAAAAAATATATTATTGGGTTCTCTTCGTCACAGAACATTTTCAGGTTTCAAACGGAGACAAATCGGTCCTTGAACTTGTTTTCGCCTTTTCTCACTGATGATGCTCCTGGTGTTAGCCATAGTCCGATCAAGGCGCTGAGGAAAGTGTCGCGATCGCCGTATAAGGTGAATTTTTTTCCCTTTTTTGCTTTCTATGTCCGATTCTGGGAATCGTGCATTGCGAATTTTTTTTTTTTGGGTTTTGATTGAAGTTAGATTCTCAAACCATGTTGTTGAATCGAGTCTAATCTTTTCTTACGGGTATAGATTTCTGATTTTGATCAGAAGCTGAGCTTTCATTTGGTCATATCATTTGGTCATATCATTACCGAGAGATTGATCTACTAGGCTGCTTTGAATCTATCACTAACATATATTGCTTGAAATGTGAGATGATTGTGGTATCAAAATTGCTCACTAGGAGATCAGTTATGCAAAATTGCTGCATATTTGCAACACCAGATTATGCTCTCTTTTTGTTGGTGTGGGATCTTTATTGGTTTTTTCACTTTGTAGGCATTCAATGGCAAATCAATTTGTGAGAGAGGAGGAAGAAGAAGAAATGGAAAGAAAGAGCAGAGTTCGATACAACCCATCGCAGGCCAGAAGCAATGTCAACGGCTGTGGAATTAACCGTGGTTCAGCGGAAATGGCTTCTAGGTTTGGTGGGTGGGACGAGTTAGACAGGCATTACGGAAACAACAGAACAGTGCAGAGAAAGCTATTGAAGCTTTCAATCTTTCAGAGATCTTTGTTCTATACAAGCTCAAGAATCACTCGACAATCGTCATCCATCTCTTCAATGTATACAAATCTCACATCGACATCATTCTCCTGTTTGGCTAGCTATTGTTCTTAAGATTGTAAATTTGACAAAATTGGGATCCAAACTCTGAGAAGAAATGTGGGAGAACAGAAGAGCAAGTTGAGCTGTTGAAGCAAAAGCTTCAGATGATATATCAAGGAGAAGCATTCAATGGCAAGCCAACAAAGACAGCAAGATCTCATGGGAAGAAATTCCAGGTCATGGTCGAGAAGGAAACCTCTAAGATCTTGGTACGTATGAGAGATCAATCGGCTTGTTGGTGATACTCTGTGTTTGGATTGATGCTTTTAATACTGAATATAAACTTTTTTGTTTAGAACAAATATAGCTTACTTCTTGTAAACTGTTTTTTCTTTTCTTAAGAACCTTTAATGGAGTTCACCATTGGAGGAACAAAAAATCTTAGAGCTCTTAACTATTTAATAATCAAAAATAAATTATTAAAATATTGTTATGAACCCAAAGGAGAGTTTGCTGATGGAGATGCTCTCACACATATTTAGCCAGTAGAAAAACTAGTAGGCGCCTTCATGTGATTTTGATTGCACTCATTGTTTTTTTCTTTTTTTCAACTAACTTTATGGATCCCTTGTGAAAGACTCATATGATTATATGAAAAAGTTAAAATAAATACTTACCAAGTATCATCATATATATTATAAGCAAAGTAAAATTTTGAGTTAAAGCTCTCTTATTCAATTTTAGAGTGGCTAATTACCCTTTACCCCTCCTTATATTTTTTTAAATTAAATTTAATAAAAAATTATTAAAAATTGAAAATTAATAAGAAAAATTATTAAAAATCGTATACTACAAAAAATATTAAAAATCAGAATTTAATAAATCATCATATATATGATAAGCAAAGTAAAATTTTGAGTTAAAGCTCTCTCATTCAATTTCAGAGTGGCTAATTACCCTTTACCCTTCCTTATATTTTTTTAAAATAAATTTAATAAAAAATTATTAAAAATCGAAAATTAATAAAAAAATTATTAAAAATCGTATACTAACAAAAAATATTAAAAATCGGAATTTAATAAAAAAAATTAAATAAAAAAATTATTAAAAATTGTAAATTAATAAAAAAATTATGATAAATCAGAATTTAATCAAGAAAACATTTAAATTTTTAAAAATTATTAAAAATTAGAATATAATAAAAAAACATTAAAATCATATCATATATACTATATGCGAAGTAAAATTTTTCGATATAAACTTTCTTATTCAATTTAGGTGAATAATCATCATAGTAGTATATATTAAAAGCAAAGTGAATTTTAGCTTTAAAGACTTCTCATTCAATCTCAGCGTGGTTAATTATTTTTGTGTTCCTTATTAAAAGATCATATATATTATAAGCAAAGTACAATTTTGAGTTAAAGCTCTCTCATTCAATTTCAGAGTGGTTAATTACCCTTTACCCCTCCTTATATTTTTAAAATAAAATTTAATGAAAATTATTAAAAATAAAAAAATAATAAAAAAATTATTAAAAATCGTAAACTAACAAAAAATATTAAAAAATCGGAATTTAATAAAAAAAATTATTAAAAATTGTAAATTAATAAAAAATTATGATAAATCTGAATTTAATAAAAAAAACATTTAAATTTTTAAAATTATTAAAAATTGGAATATAAAAAAACATTAAAATCATATCATATATACTATATGTGAAGTAAAATTTTTCGATATAAGCTCTCTTATTCAATTTAGGTGACTAATCATCATAGTAGTATATATTAAAAGCAAAGTAAATTTTAGCTTTAACGACTTATCATTCAATCTCAGCATGGTTAATTATTTTTGTGTTTCTAATATCCTTTAATTGATTAAAATTAAGTTTTATTTATAATTAACTATACCAAATTTTGTTACCATTAAGTTAATATTGGATCTTTTAATGCTATAAAATTATATGGTTTTGTATATGAAAGCCCCAAGGCTCTCACTTTAGCCCTAATCTCCGATTAGTCAGAGCTTCTTCTTCAACCGGTGGTTTCTGTGTTTTGACGTTTGAGTTGTATTGCTTTATTAAAATTTTCGAATTAGGGTTTTTTTGTTTCAAAACCTTGGGTTTGTGTTCATGATGAATGAGGAGGATTGAGTATTTAAGCTTTGCGATTAATTTCCATCGACATTGCTCTATAAGTCTATGACCGATCGGATCCCATACTGTTTATGCTCCTCCATCTCAACTTTGTTTCTGTTTTTGGAATGTGTCTGGTTTATCCAAAAATAATTTTGCTTCAGACTTGAGATTCTGTTTGGATTTCATGTTTAGGGTTTATTCATCTCAGTTAAATTTTGAGGAATCAAAGTGATGCTAATCATACTGATTTAGCGTTGTAAATTGTGATGTCCAGTTATAGTAAAGAATATATTCACAAGCATAAAATCGTAGCAAAACAAAACAAAATATTCACAAGCATAAAAGAGACCATATTGAACGAGTTTCTACTGTTCTCTCTATAAGCCAAGTCGAATTGATCGCTCTGCTCTTCACTCTAATTATAGTAAAAGCTGAAGAAATCGTTGGAATAAAGATTTCGATGAGCCCATGACTCTTGCCCCAACCAGACTTTCTTGGTCGTGCGAAATACATGGTTATTCAAGGTGAACCAGAATCATGCATAATGAAATATAAATGGGAAATTATTGATTAAATTTAAACAAAACTAGACCAATCAGGGTTTTAAAATTATATTTTTCATGTTAATTCTTGTGGAATCGTTGAACAGAAAGTGTGATTTCACTAAAGACTGTTATTGGTAAAATCTTGCAATCATGCTAATTTAGGAATATTAGTAATGAGACTTTTGTTACAACATTTTTTTTAAACGGATCAAGGTATTTATGTGGTTGATTTTAGGATTAGATAATGGAATGTAGGAGGGTCTTGAAATGGACATTTGCATATGGATACTACCTTGCTCATCATGAACATGCAAAGACACAACTTTTTCGAGTATTTGCAAGGGGAAGCTCGAGCTGGTTTAGAGAGGCTTCATCATTGTGCAGAGATGTAGTTGGAACAGTTTGTCTCTGGAACTAATGAACCATCCAAAAGTTTCAATGATTTCATTTGACTAAAGTAACCAAACCTACTTCGAAAACACGTGAAAGCTTTGGAGAATGGTCTTGCTGATGTGGAACACAATGAGAGCACAAATCAACAACAGACTCTAGATCTTCCTTCAAATGACAAAGGTTGACAAGGGTCTAAGAAAGATCCAAGTGGTAAGTGAGAGATCTTTCAGCTTCAGATTTATATTATTGGTGCAAAAAACCGTATGGTTTATTGCAAGTGGTATTTTCCAAATTAAGGATCATACCAAGTATTCGGTTTACAATTCGGAGGGACATGTGAAAAATTGTAAGGTTATAGTATTGAGAAGCTATTGGTTAAGATAAATAAAAAATATATTTTCCCCCCTAAAAAAACCTATAGCATCACTCTACTAATTAAAAGATTTTTACTTCTTTCAACGCCTTCAAGAAAAAATAATCTCATTATGTAAATATCAATAACAGAGTACATTGGTAAAGTTTCAAAAACCAAAAAATAGTCAAGATAATACCAGTAGGTACCTTACATAACGATCAAAGGGAAAGTGAGTAACTCCTATGAGAAAGTCATCTCATTAAGTATAATTGTTTAAGAATCTAATATTTTCTAAGAAAATAATTGGAAGAATATATGTCTCGAATAATAAATAATTTATTATGTGAAGATTATTCTTTCAACGAAATATAAGAAGTGAATACAGTTCTAATTTTTATGATTAAAAAGTAAAACATGTTTTAATTGTTTGATTTATATATAATTTTGGGATTATTTTTAGGCAATAAAGAATAACAACTTTAAGAATGACTTCGTTTCAGCTTCCAAACTATATTTCATCTTCGTTTTAAGAGGAGAGTTCACATTAGAATACTCGGATAATATGTGTCTATGTTATCTTTGTGCTTCACTCCACAAGATTTTTTAAAACTTATCGTTTATACAAAGATAGTCAAGCCTATAAAAGATGTGAAAAATATAGAAAACTTCCAAACTTCCAAAAATAAATAGTAGAAAAAAATACGAAGAAGGAATAAAACTAAAATAAGAAGAAAAACACAAAGAAAAAGTCTGTTTATTTAATATTTTATGTAGAAGAATTAGAAATTGGAAAATACAGACTATATAAAGAACAATAGGAAGAAAAAAAATCGAAAGAACAAGACGAAAACAAATTGAAAGAAAAGATGATGTTCCCGCCCGCGCAACGCGATTTTGAGTAAGTCTTTCGAATAAATTAACGATTTTGAATAAGTATTTTCAATGAAACATTTCCGCCCGCACAAGGTGCGGGCTAAACACCTAGTTTTATAAATATTATGTGAAATTTTGATTTTTGTTTGTTAAACGTGATTATTGTTATACTCCCTCCGTTTCACAAAGAGTGTCGTTCTGACATTCTTCACACAAATTAAGAAATAAGATAAAATGTCTCTTATACCCTTATTAATTTGCAGAAAATGACTCTTGGAATCATATTTATAATTGATTTTCTGAATTTATTGAGGTTAAAAATGGTATTTTATGTTAAAAATTGCATTGGAATTCTAAAACGACATTTTTTTTGAAAAAAAAAAAGTGTCAGAATGAAACTCTTTGTGAAACGGATGGAGTATAATTTATGAAAACCACATCATGATGACTTGATTGACTTTTAAAATCATGGAAATTTTACAAAGGCAAATTGATCTCAGTTTTTTTGTTTAGAAGAGTGATTATTCTATAAGCTCAACAGCTCAGAATAAGAATTAAGAAAATAACTCTATAACCCCCTAGGCCTCTACAATTCAGAAACAAAAATACAAACCCTGACATTCATGTTGACTTTTCAGAAGAAACCTATAACTTGTGATTCATTACGGTCTTTGACCAAAAAAAGGTGAAGAGAGTGATTTAAACAATTCGGTTTCAATATCATTCGGTTTTCAAGCTCTTAAACCAAAACCAAACTGTCAATCATCCGAGAAGATATATGTGCACATTGTTAATGTTAACTTTGTATTTGTTTTGAACTGAGACAGTCCCCAACTGAATAAACCGAACTATGCTAAAACATTATTATATTCAATTGAAACTTACATAAAAAAAAAAAACAAACTTAATTCAATCAAAATCCAAAAAACCAATAAAACTCCAATAAATCCGAACTGGACCGAACCAAATGCTTTAGTAATTCCAAACCGAACCGAAGGGTAAAACTGTAGTTTAACAAATGGTCATGGTCAACAGCACGTATATGTGTACTCTTCTTCACCTTAATCGGAACGAATATCGCTTAATCCGACCGACGACGGCGATGCCAAGCGGAGGTAACGGAGTCGGTAACGGTGCCGTTAACGCAAGTTCCTCGGGTAACGTAGGCACAAGCGGGAATGTTCCGATGTATAAGCCATACCGTCACCTGAAAACCCTAGAAGGTCACACGGCGGCGATCTCTTGCGTGAAATTCTCCAACGACGGGAATCTTCTCGCTTCCGCTTCCGTCGATAAGACTATGATCCTCTGGTCGGCGACGAATTACTCTCTTATTCATCGATACGAAGGTCACGCCGGTGGTATCTCCGATCTAGCTTGGTCCTCTGATTCGCACTACACTTGTTCCGCTTCCGATGATTGCACGCTTCGAATCTGGGACGCTCGATCTCCGTACGATTCCCTCAAGGTGCTTAGAGGCCACACCAATTTCGTCTTCTGCGTCAATTTCAATCCTCCCTCGAATCTTATCGTGTCCGGTTCGTTCGACGAGACGATTCGGATCTGGGAGGTGAAAACGGGCAAGTGCGTCCGTCTGATTAAAGCTCACTCGATGCCGGTTACGAGCGTGCATTTCAATCGGGATGGATCGTTGATTGTTTCGGGGAGTCACGATGGTTCTTGCAAAATCTGGGATGCTAAAGAAGGAGCTTGCTTGAAGACTCTTATTGATGATAAATCTCCTGCTGTTTCCTTTGCCAAATTCTCGCCTAATGGGAAATTCATCCTCGTTGCCACTCTTGACAGTACTCTCGTAAGTTTCAACAAAATCAATTCCCAAATATTTTACATTGAAGAATGTCGAATTTGGTTTCGAATGATCGCATTGTGTGTTTGAATTAGGGACATGAACAAGAAAGTAAAAGACTCAAACTTTTAATGTTCTTGCTTGCTTAACCTGTGATCAAAGATGGATATGAACTGAATAACGTAGAGTATCGGTTTTAAGTGATCACTTAAGTTCTGAATTCGCATGATTTGGAATCAATCTTTTATGATTTTAGTCTTTGATTGGTTCTTGCATTAGTCTTCTCTGTTTTATCCTTGGTTCTTGCATTAGTCTTCTCTGTTTGATCCTTCGTTCTTGCATTAGTCTTCTCTGTTCTCCACTCGTATCGTGTTTCAATTGGGACATGAACAGGAAAGTAAAGATTCAAACTTTAAATCTTCTTGCTTGCTTGCTTAACCTGTGATCAAAGCTGGATATGAATTGAAGAATGAAGAGTATCTGTTTTGAATGATCACTTAGGTTACGTTAGAATTAATCTGGTATGCTTTAGTCTTTGATGAGTTCTTGGTTTAGTCTTCTCTGTTTGATCCTTAAGAACATTTATGGTACAGAACAATATATTTTTGAATCTGAGAGTAGTGGACTCTCACTTTTAAACTAATGATTTTCATCTTTTTGGTTTGGATAAAAACCACACAGAAGCTGTCGAACTATGCGACGGGGAAGTTTCTGAAAGTGTACACAGGACATACAAACAAAGTGTTCTGTATCACATCGGCCTTCTCTGTAACGAACGGGAAGTACATTGTGAGCGGATCAGAAGACAATTGTGTGTATCTATGGGATCTTCAGCATAGAACTATACTGCAGAGACTTGAAGGCCACACAGACGCAGTGATCTCTGTGAGTTGCCATCCGGTTCAGAACGCGATAGCTTCATCGGGAAATCATTTAGATAAAACCATCAGGATTTGGAAACAGGATGCTTGAGAAACTGCTTACGCATTTTGAATGTCTTACTAAAATTCATCATGTACTTGATAAAAAGAAAGTTAAAAAAATTGATGTCTAAAAAATAGTAATTAGTCCTGCTTCAGACAAAACTGTAAAACTGATTGTGTTAAACACAAAGACGACAACAGTTGTGAGAAATCAAGACAACTTTCTGGCGAGGTTTATCAAACCGCTTCCAAGGCAAGTGAGAATGACGGTTCCTGTCAATGGATCAGGTTTGATCTCAAAAGTAACTCCCAAAAACTCCTTTAAATTCCTTAACGTCTCCACTCCATAAGGAGATAACGTTCCCACTCGAACCTTTGACACGTCTTTTTGGCATAACGCACATAGTGTAAACAACAATCCTTGTAAAAAAAAAAAAACAGAGAATCAAGAAGAATACACACTTAAAAGTCTTTCACTTTCAAAACGGTCGATCGATTTTGGTGTTTATGGTAAATAATCTATAGGATTTCAAAACGCACCTGGTGTGTTGAATCAACAACTCCGCCTTTTTCAATCTCTTGAAGAAGCCATGAAGCTACATCAACTCCTGTGTCTTGTGGTGGTTTTCTCTCTTGCTTCTCTACATCGAGCTCTCCTGTTTCATCTCTTCTTCCACAAGACACTGTTGTATCTGCAGAGATGTAACATCCTGAAGTTGTTTCTGCAACCAATGATATTCCGTATCCAGGTGATCTGCAATCAAGTGTTTTTCATCAAGACGTTAAGCTCTTATCAAATATCAAGTAAACCTGTTCCGATCTGCCTTTTTCTTTGTTTTGAAGCTGAGGTTCTTACTTTCCAGCGAGAGGGCCAGCTTTGTGATCTTGGGAAATGTGAACATCAGGCAAGAGGTTGTTAAAGATACCACGAGCTGTGAATCTCATGGAATGTTCAAAGTCAGTAGAAACTCTTGCAGAGAAAGTCACACCTCGTATCTTCTTCACCATTCCTTCCTCAAGCCATTGGACCGCCTGAATGCATGCAGCGATATATAACAGATAAGAAATATTTATCCCCATGCACGAAGCTTTTGCAGTGAGGAAGATATGAAGGAAGTACATACAGTTAGGGTCTGAACATTTGGAACAGTTAAGAGAACTTGTCCACCTCCATCTGGAGCTACTCCAAAACGCTTTAAGATATTCAAGGTAGTGGAACGGATTGTGTCAACGCTTAGGTCCTTAGGATCATTTGTAATTCCTGCAAAAGTAATTAAATAAGAGGAAGACAGGAGGTTTTTTGCAAGATGAACAAGCATTAATTATCTGAATTGTAGAAAACAAGTCGATCACCTTTAAGCCTAATGGAAAGGGGTTCCTTTCCAAATAAACCTAACAAAAGCAATGGCTCCAGATAATAGCCAATGGATCGAGTCAGGGCACAGTTGTGAACCAAGTTCTTCCTTCCCATTACTATTCCAGGTTCGTATATCACTTGAGTCCCTGCAAAAGAAATAGATATTGATTGCACCATATTCTTCTTGATCAACTTCCAAAGAATTCAACTGGTTACTTACCGGTCAAGTTAGTCTTAATGTGGGAGTCATCGAAGATAGTGTCGAGGAGGCCGAGAAGCGATCTCTCGTGAAGACGGAGGCCAGCAATCATGTCGTCGGCACGAATCTCATCAATGATGATTGGCGTCGAAGAAAGGGTCGCGAGAAGCATCCTCTCCCTAAAGCTTTGGCTTCCCTTCATCCGCTTGTACTTCGGTTTCTCCATTTTCATATCTCTCTCTCTCTCTCTCTAATCTCTCTTTCTCTCTCCTTCTCAGCCGTTTTTCTTAAACCCTAAATCTTACTAAGACCAGCGACAATCTTTTATTTTTGTTTTGTTTTTATATATTCTATTTTGTATGGAAAAATATATTTTTGGCATGACATGTATATTTCAAAATTAGTAATTCTAGCTATCTAAATTTTAAATTCTGATCTATTTCATTAAAAAAATAATTTCAGATACATTTTGTTCTTTATATTTCTAGTTTTATATTTTATTAAAATATGTTTTAACACTTAAATTATCCATTTTGTAAGTAATATGCACTATGTTTTTGTAATAATTAGTGATGATTTAGAGGTTTTGTTTGTTATCAAATAAGTGATGTTCTATATAAAATTAATTATTTATATTATTTTATTGGTTAAATTACGTTGAAATGAATAATAAATGAAGTTTTAGTAGTATAGGAAAAAGCGATGAGCGAGAAAATTGTTTACTGGTATTTTGGCTTTGGTGTATCAATCCTTCGTCTCATAGAAAATTAAACACCATCTGCAAGCTTCTTCTTCAAGGAACGGATTATAAATTGTTTCTACCACAAAGTATGCGGTTGCAATATATTTTGTTTCTACCACAAAATTAATTTAAAGAAAGCACACTAATGATATATCAAAATGTTTTCCAATTAACCAAGCACAAAAAATTATTATACAAAATTTTATCCACAATATGTAAATCATGCATACTTAATCACCAATTAAAAAAAAAAGAAGTGATTTCCCTCTTGCTTACTTGATCGAGACGCAATTAATTTATTTGAAATCAGCACCAACGTCCAAGTGACTTTGGTTCAAGTGCGGAGCAAACTGCATGGGATGTAATTAGGGTTTGGGGTGGAGGAGGAGCTACTGAAGGGAGAACTCAAATTTCCCTAATTAGATTCTTACCTTTTTTCGAATCCATTCTTCTTCACCAAGCAAAATGTCCTCTATCTATATACTGTATAAGAGGAGCTTACTCTTAATTACCGCAGTAAGACTCCACCTCTATCTATATACTGTATAAGACTCCTTAATTCTCCCTTAAAGTTAGGGTTTGCAGAATGTCCTTAGTTAGGGTTTTTGGTTAGTCTATTAATTATGGACTTTTCATGGCTATATTCTTGTTTGACCATTTCAATATGGTTAGTTTTGCAAAAGACCCAAAAAAAAAAAACAAGACCTAGCTACCAATTAAAAAAAAAACAACTCCTAAAGGAACTTAAGAATAACTCTCTTTTTAAAAAAGAAGAAGAACGTAATAAAATCATTATTTGAAATCTAACAGGTAGAATCAATGAAAGAAGAGCAAAAATATGCAACATAAAAAAAAAAAGCAACATCCAAGTTATGTCCGACGAACGTCGTCACAGTTGTCCGTTGCTTCAGACAAGAGAAAGCCATTGGGCACTTCAATTTTACAAACGCAACCATTCAGCTTTCAACTAACAATTTCGAAAAATTATTATTATAAAAAAAAAGCATAAGTAACAAAATGAACCTTGATAATGATGATTGATTATCTTGATGTTTCTACAAATGTGACATCTGATCTTTTCTCTTTCAGCAGCATTAGAAGATTTCTACATCACACACAAAACAAACAACAACAATGGCAAATGAGTCACTAATACCGAGCCCATGTGATATAATAATTGGAATAGTAAAAAAAGAATCAGAAATTAAAACAGTTTCGTTACTTTGGTATGGAAGTTCTGCTGCCTTTACCCGATACGTCCTATTGAAGAAAACAAAGGAAGGTGTTGTGTGACTTGTGAGTAAAGTCACTCATTAAGCAGGCAAATTTGCACTATTTCAACGTTTTTATATATCAAAACTTACAATGTGCCGAAGGAATCTGAAGTCACCGGTTATAAGTGAAATCAAAAGCTGCATAATGTATTCCTGGATATATCGAGATATATGATGCTTAAGAATTTTGGAATGAGATGAAAAGAAACTGAATTAACTTGTGAAGTTTTTTATACTTTACGTTTTTTAGAGAAGGGCAATTGCGCAGTATCAGAGTCTTGAGTGGCCTATTTTCTCTGCCGCTATTTCCCAGGTCGCTACAAACCATCAAGATAAGAGAGTTACTAATTAACAAACACTCAAAGATATCGTCATTCATTAATGTTTGCTCAGATAAGACAAACCTCAAAAACTGACCGCTGATTCCAGGCGTTCCAGACAGATTCATGTAGTTAAGTTTAGGAAAACCCTGCAGATTAGCATTTCAATTTTTCTTTGTTATTCTGAGTTGGGTTTGTAAAAGAAAACTGATGGTACCAAATGAAGAGAAGAAGAAAAATACCAGAGCAAGATCTCTGGCTGCTTCTTCCATTAGATTAAAACCTAGGAGCGTTAGCGAAGTTAAGTTGGGACAAGCGGTAACTAATGCTTTAAATGACGATACGCCTGTAACATGCACAGTAATTAAGCAAAGATTACGTAAGAACCAAGGAGGAATCAAAGAGGAAAAGTTTTAAGTGGAAAACAATTTACCTATTACAGCCAGTTTCGACAGGTACAACCTCATCACCTTATCATGGTTTACATTGGGCGACTTTGATAACTGTTGTAGCATGGGTTTCTTGTCACTTTGAAGCATGGGATAAGGCAGATAGTGAGAGAACAACCAATAAGGAATGAGCAGAGTTTAAAGTCAAGACAGACAACATAGCAAATCAAAGAAGATGGAGACTCAAGTTACAATAATGAATGTGTCAAACAACTTACATATTGACCATCTTCAGTTCAGTGAGATTTGGACAGACTGACATCACAATTTCTAGAAGCTTGGTGTACGTGCAATCGAGACGGTAAAAGTGTAACCTTCTCAGCCTAGTAGTTTAATGGAGAAGAGGATAATACCAATCAGAAGATCAAATATAATATATACAGACGCTAAATCTGGACAAATCAGATTGAAAATACAGGTTTTGGTATATAAATATATCACTTGTATTATTAGTATAATAAACTTGTAAACAATTAAATACCTAGGCAAACAAGATCTTGTAAACAAAGGTATATGTTGACTAGAGAGTTGACTAGAGAGTTGACTAGAGAGATCACCAAGTTTAGAGGATCTGCATGTATAAAAGAAACCGTAAGATATGATTACGTAGACCAAGTTCAAAAACCAAAAGCAAAAAAAAATAATATATATATATATATATATATATATATATATATATATATATATATATAAACAAAGCAAAGAAGATGGAGACTCAAATTACAATGAATATGTCAACAACTTACGAATCAACAATCTTGAGATCAGTGAGATTCGGACAGGCTGACAACAGATTGCATATGAACATAATGTACATGCCATCGAGACAGTAAAATTGTAAGCTTCTCAAGAGATCCCTAGTAGTTTGAATGGAGAGGAAGATAATACCAATCAGAAGATAAATTACTAAATCTGGACAAGTAAGATTGATACGACAGGTTTTGATAAAAAAACTTGTAAACAATAAAATACCCAGGCAATACTAATCTTGTAAGGCGAGGTATAACTTGACTAGCGACACTACCGAGTTTAAGTGATCTGCATGTATATAAGAAGCAGTAAGAGATGATTACGTAGACCAAATTCAAAAAAAAAAAAAAAAGAACCGGAAGAGATTCTTTGTCCATCTCGCTGAATCCCACAAGCATATCTACAACTACAAGGACCAATAAGCAGATTCGATTACTTGATGATATCTCACCTGAGTTCTTTTCCAGCACGACGGATCATGGTAAACACAATTTCATCCTTAAAGCTTTTGATATCCATGCTCAAATCAATGTGAGAGTAACATAAAGGATCCATAGAGTAATTGCCGAACATGCTGCAGCATCCTGCAGCTTGCACCAGAGCCTTGGTATCAAGCATGGAAAAGACCTGATTATAAATTATTGAAGACACAATATGTGAGAGATTATCACTCAAGAAAACATGTCCACAAAAATCACAGATCGTTAATAAGACAGAAGAAAGGATTTGATTATGAGATATCACTTGTTAAAAAATACAGCCTCAAGTTTCCCTTAGAGCTATCCCAAAAAGGAACACAGATCGTTAATAACAAAGGTTTCTCGATTTCTTACCGAGCATATCCATAAACCTCCTAAGTAACAAAAGAAAAAAAGCCCTAAAACATTGTGTCTAAATAGTAGTAACTAATCCTCAATAGCTTAAACAAACGTAATTGCATGATTCTAAAGTCTAGAGAGAAGACATTCCATTTAAAAAAAATGCAGAAAAACAGGATCTATGTCTTAAAGCAACCTCTAGATTACCTTAATGGTGAGTTCATAAGGGAGGGGCCACGATTTGGAATTGTAGAGGGTGGCTCGCTTCCGGGAAAAGCGATTGATTGATTCATGAAGAAGAGAGGTAAGTTTGCGAGTATGATCAATGAGACGATCCTGAACGGAGTCGTCACAGGAAGCAGAGGAGATAACTCGACCAAGGGCTTGATCAAAGGAGCAGCCAATGGAGGTCGAAGGCGAGTCAGGCAACAAGAGTAAGGAGGAGATAGTCGAGTCGAAGTTGCTTTGGTTGAAATCAGGAGCAACAGATTGGGAATTAGGGTTTTGGATGGAGGATGTAACATCATAGCAAGGTCGCTTAGGGTATGGAGTATTCATTGGGACAGCAACGTTACAAGTGTTTTATTTGGTTTTGGAGCTTATATATTTTCTCGCGTTTTAGAGCATTTTTAATGCTATGGGTTTCTTGGTAATTTTTTTATTATTAAATTTGGGAAAGAAAAAAAAAGAAAAAGAGAGAAATTGGTGGGAAAAAAGGAAAAAAGAGAAAGGAAAAAAAAAATTTCTCACCAGTAAAAAACTAACATATACTATTAAGAACCGTATCTTAAAGTTTTTAAACAAGATACGTTTCTTAACAAAAATTTCTACTTTGATTAAATTTAATATTTGGAAAATTTGCTTTTATAGTGCCAATTCAATTAACATTTGTCCCTTTAATATTTTCTATTTTTTGTTACTTTTTGACATAATTATTTTTATAAATCAGTTATGTGGCAGTTATAATAAGAAATAAATTCGAAACTATTTTTAATTTTTTTTTAAAATACCTAAAATAGAAATAAAAATATATTCGTATATCATTTAAGAATTTTTTTTTAAAAAAAATTGTTCTACGCATGGTAAAATGAATGTTTTATCTTCTACATCCACGTAGAATCTCATTTCTATAGTTCTTTATATATTTTACCAGCATATAGAATTCGTTTTCTATAGTTCTTTTTATATTCTACCGATTGGTAGAAAATGTATTCTATATATTATCTATTTTTTACATTATAATAAATTACATGTTCTACTGGATAGACTATATTACATGTTGGTACAATACAACTTCTATTTATTATACCAAGTTCTACGTTATTGTAGAACAGTTTTTCTACATATGATTTTCATTCTACATTAATGTAGAATACAAATTCTACCAAAATCTGAGAAAATCTAAGAAAATTAGTTAACTCCCAGAATTTAAATATTTTTCGAAATTTTTTTAATTTGTTTTTTTTATTTGCATGTTTTTTTTAGCTGTCATCATTCTCTTACTCATTTTTCCCATTGATTTAGCAGGTTTTCTCTAAATTTACCAAACAACACAGCATCAGCGTTAAGATAAGATATCACCAGTTATGTATAACTCTATGTTAACAATTATTCTTTCATTAGAGCCGTGCCTCATGTATTATGAGTTAGGCATTAGCCTAAAGCCACCAAAATTGAAAAAAAATTAGGGCCACAATTTTATTAACTAGTTCATGTATATAGTTAATGAGGTAAATATTTTTGGATTATTTCTTTGAGATAAGCCCATATACTGTACTAGTATTATCATTGATATTTATTTTTATGCATATTCATAAATAACAAAGGAAAGTAAAAAAAATTAATTAAAAACTTGAGACATACATAATTAAAAAAAAATCCCACATCGATATCTTAATGAGGAGGCTTATAATTTTTCTTCAATACAAGTAGCAACATCAATTAAAATTTTTTTGAGCATAAAAACCAACGTTCAAACAAAGTTTGGGTTTAACCGGATCTATAGGTTTAACCATCGATTTGCAAAATTTTAATTGGTTTTTTTCTTCTGGTTTCTAAAAGTTCGACCGGATTTTCAGCCGGTTCCCAGTTACACTTACATAGCCGTCTGATTTTGTGGCTAAATAACTCGATTATGTGAGTTTGGTAAATAATTTTCTGGGAAAGAAAAGAAAAAAATATGTTTTAGAAATTTTATAATTTCAGTTATTATTATTATTATTATTATTTTGTGTACGTCTGAGACAATATTTTTACACTAATTTTTTTAAGGACCACATTTGTTTAGTTCGCCTAAAGCCACCACAGATCTACGCACGGCACTGTCTTTCATCATAATTAACAAATTTCTTCCTCCCGTATAATAGATGACGTTTTGTATAAAAAAAAACTGACTAATTTCTAAGATCTTTTAAATGTATAGATAAATCTCTTAATCCATACCATGATCTCTTCCCAAAAATCAAGACACTTGAAATATTATGCTAAGTTGTGGGGAAAAATGAACATTTCTCCAAAAAAAAGAAGAAAAAGTGAACATCATATCTCGTATTAGAGCATTTCCAATGGTGCTCTATATCTTGCTCTAAACTCTATTTTTAGAGTAAAATGAATTGCAATGGTACTCTATATGCTGCTCTATAGATAGAGAAATAAACAGTGTTGCTCTATATTTAGAGCAATACTTTTCATGGCTCTATTTTTAGAGCATAAATTTTTATTTACAAAACAATCCTCTAATTTTAATATCTTTTCATTTTATACCTAAACTATAATATAACTAACAATATTACACTGAATTCAATTTATACTACTAATAACTTATTAGAAAATTATTTTAACATAAAATTTAATAACAATATATATTAAACAAAAAAATACAATAAGATAACAAATAATAAAATTAGAAATACATAATTAATACTAAAATTTAAAGATAAAAATCAAATATTAAAAAGAAAATTTCACACAATTTATTAGATTAGTAATCTAATACTCTTGTAAGTTGTTTTCACCTCCATGAAAATCACCAAAATATTGCCCGAATGAAATAGATGTAGAAGGAGCTTGTTGATCAACTCATTTCTTTTAAAATTCGTCTTTGTTCAGCTTGAACATGTTCACGAATATTTGGATCTTGTATAGAATTTAAGTTCTGAAGTAAAACTTTATTTTCTTCCTTGAGTTCTGATGCTTAAAAAAAGGTACTAATACTGATGTTTAAAAAATGTATTAGTTGTTAATTTTTTAATTATGTGATGTAATAAATTTTTATAATAGTTAATGTTAAAAATATGTTTATGTTAAATTATTGTTAAAAATAAAATATATGGAACAATTTTAAATTTTTAAAAGTAGAGGACCTTATCAGCAATTCATACTAAAAATAAAATAAAATATTTATTTTTAGAATCAGATATAGAGATAACCATTGGAGTAAACATTTTCTCTATTTTTAGAGATCTCTATATTTAGAGCTAAAAATAGAGCCAACCATTGGAGATGCTCTTAGTGTGTGTATTTTGTTTGACTATGGTTGTGCAGTCCGAATAAAGTGTCCACACAACCAAATCCTAAAGCGATTGGAGATAATTTCATACCAACCAATTAATTTAACAATTTTATTAATTTATTAATTCTAAAAAAATTAAAGGGTAAAACTGGATTAAATTTAAATTAAATATTAAGAGGACAAATTTTAATTATAAAACATTAAAGGGATAATTGTTAATTGAATTGACATTATAAGTTAAATCCTCCATTCATTTATGCATCAGGCAATTGCTCATTTGTCAATTACACAATATAAGTTAAATAGTAGTTTTAACTTTAATTTAAACGAGTAATTTAAAAAATGCCTAAATCCCTGATCATAAACTAATGCAATCAAGTAGTACCACCTTGGTAGTATACTAAACAACTTTCACGAGCAAAACATAGCTACAGCGAGTTTCCTCAGAGAGCAGCTGTGGTCTTTTTTTTTTTCAGAAAAAATCCATTCTTCTAAACGAAATCATTTGATTTGAATTTTACAAACAGACAACCATGTAGATAAATTCATGTGACTTTTTTTAATAACTATTGTTGTAAAGCATAAGTAACAAAATTTATTGTTTACTCATTTATGGTTTGCTACAATCTGACATCTGATATTTTCTCTTTCAGCAACGTTAGAAGACTTCTACATCACACACAACAACAACAACAACATTTGCAAAATGAGTCATTAGTACCGAGCCCTTGTGATAATATATTGGAAATAGTTTAAGAGAATCAGCATGCTGTCTTCATCCCAAGCTGAAACATGTACGTATAGAGATTAGGAAATATAACTTATTGATAAGTCTTAGAATATACGATGTTATCTTCTTTCCTAAACTATCGGACATATCTTGTATAAATACTTGCTCTTGTATATCAATAATACACACACTTTTCCCCTTATTTCATGGTAGCAGAGCTCACAAAAGATCTTTGACCTAAAATCTCCTTCTTCCTCACGATTTTTTTTTCTCGTGTCCACATAATTCCCTTTCTTTGCCGTGTTTTGTTGCCTCAAAACAATGGCTACTGATTCTACTACTACTTCTACCTCTACACCTGTTATCACGGAGAGCTCCTCGTCATCGTCGGACTCTCCCTACTCTCTACATCCCTCGGACAATCCCGGCGCGTTAATCACACCGGTTCTGCTTCGTGGTGATAATTATTCGGAGTGGGCCACCGAGCTTTGGAACTCTCTCCAAGCTAAACAGAAGATTGGGTTTCTCGATGGCTCCATCCAAAAACCTACTTCGTACCCCGATCTTGCTCGCTGGACCGCAACTAACTCTATGATCGTTGGATGGATTCGCACGTCCATCGATCCACTGGTTCGCTCTACGGTGGCTCACGTACCTGATGCTTACAAACTTTGGGAATCTCTTCGACGCCGCTTCTCGTCAAATAATGGTGTTCGCAAGCATATGCTTCAAGATGAGATTAACAACTGCAAACAGAACGGGCAATCTGTTCAAGACTACTACGGGCGCCTCTCAAAACTTTGGGAGGAACTCCAGACTTTTCAGTCTTCTACGCCGTGCATTTGCGCTGCTTCTACTGAACTTGAGAAGGAACGTGACGATGCTAAGGTCCACAAATTTTTATTTGGTTTGGACGAGGCTCGATTTCTCACAATCCGTTCTCAAATTATCGATGAAGATCCATTACCTGATCTCAACAGCGTCTATTCCCGGGTGATTCGTGCTGAGCAACACAATGCCAAAACACGGTCCTCTGAGATACGACAAGATGCTGTTGGATTCTCTGTTCAAACAGATTCTTCTGCACTTGTTCCTTCCGCTACCGCGGCTGCAGCTGTCTCCCGGAGCCGCGACCCAAACCGTTTTTGCACCCATTGCAAACGTAAGGGTCATGAAGCTTCTGAATGCTTTCTTCTTCACGGATATCCGGACTGGTTTCTCGAGCAACAACAGCAACGCTCTACTCCAGGACAGTCCTCTCGTGGTGGTCGTGGTGGCCGTTCTTCTGGTTCTCGCGGTCGTGGTCATGGTCGTTTA